CATGTTTCAGGCCAACCAGCGAGGATTACGAAGAAAGACCTATCCCAAGAACAAAACAGAAAAAGAAAAGCAAATATCAGCTCTTGCATTTCAGTGCAGCCCTACTGTTGAATAAGTTTGCTACAGTATTTTAAAATATTAAATTCTATTATAGAGATCAAGAAAACATACAGAGACTCAAGTTCAGTGGTAGAGTATTTGACTACAATGTCTAAGGCCCCAAATTCAATACCCAGAACTGCCCAGCCTGCCCCACCCAACCCACCCCAAAAATGAAAGAGAACAAATGTGGCAGATGACTACTCTAAGGAGTGACAGCACAGGTAGAAGAGAGCTTGTGAGAACGAAGCACCACAGCCTTGGGGAAGTACAGACACAGATACTGCAAGCTGCAAGAGCAACAGCAAGATTCAGAAACTGTATTTCAATTAGGTAAGTTAGTAACTACCTGATAATTATTAAAAACAGAGTACAGAGAAAATACGAGAGAAATAAAGAGGCTGAATGGACTAAACTTTTAAGTCATCGTCATGTCATGTCCAGGCTGACAGCTGTGTCACCTCCCTCTAAAGCTATCCCTCTCAAACACTCCAAATGGCCTTTTTCTGGAACTGCAGGGGATCACCCCAGTATCAGCTCTGGTCCTCAGAGCCCCACCATCAATGTAGGAAGGCTGGTGTGAAAGAGACAGACAAGGCCAGCTTAGGCTACATAGCAAGTCACAGCAAAGGTGGGGGGGGGGGGAGGGAGGGAGGGAGGGGGGGGGGGGAGGGGGGGAGGGGGGGAAGGAAGGAAGGAAGGAAGGAAGGAAGGAAGGAAGGAAGGAAGGAAGGAAGGAAGGAAGGAAAAGGAAAGGGTCAGGTGAATGCCCCATACCCATGAGGGCATGAGACAGGAAGTAGATATCAAGAACCTCAAGTGATCCCAGGCAAGCCCAGGACCACTGAGCTCAGTGCCCAGTCCTTTGCATCTATCTTAAACGTATCAGCCGACTTTATGGCTTCCTCTTGATTCTGGACCTGTATTTTAAACTGAGTTGAGAAATCCCAGATTCGATCATTTTAACCCGGTTGCGGGCTGCTTCTGTTGCATCCCCTCTGCAATAGCTCGCCTGGCACTGTGCTCAGGATTGAGTCACTGCATCAAGGTAATCTCAGGGAACACCTACAGAAAGAGAATCTGCACTTTAACAAGTTCTCAGAGTGATTCATATGCATATTACAGGTTAAGAAGCACTGTTGAAATTTGAAGCCTCCACAGATACAAAAAGTTGGATCTCTGCTCTGCACAGCAGTACTGAACAAAAAGCACTCTATGCCCAGGACAGAGATTCTGAGCCCCTACAAGGCAGAGAATCCAGGGAACCATCTTCCAAGGCTCCTGCAGCTGGGAAAGCAGCACCTCTGCCCTTGCCTGTCCTTCAGTGAATACAGGATTGCTAATGTGCAGCGCAGTTTGAGAAACACTTAAGTAGGTAGCACAACACACCATAACATTAATTCTGCTGGCTCGTACTTGCTGGGAGTTAAGAAAATCTCCTTTTCAGATGACGCCATTTCGAGAACACAAGCATAAAGAATACAAGGCTTCTGGGGACAGAGAAAGGGTTATTTATGAGTTCCTTAATGAAGCTGTGGTGACCTACCCAAGGTCACAAACAGTGGATGAGACTGAAAAGCCTTGTTGCCAGGATGTCCGCCTCCCGCCTGACCCCTTACAGGGACAGATCCTCTCATAGGTCTTATTTTCCTGAGACACACTAGAGGCTCAATAAACGTTTTACAAAGATAGAAAAAAAAAATAGTGACAAAGACTACCCTCACTGGTCTTGATTAATATAAAGCACATTTACTTTAACTCCTTGCTTTAAAAAAAAAAAAGTCTGAAAGTTAAAAAGCCATTCTATGCTTCAAATTAATACTGGTCATAACATTCTCCCATTCTGTATCTCAAAGTAAGGTATGTACTTTTGATTAATAATCATATTCTGACATCCCATGACCCTATTAAATACATCAACCTATACAATTAGAAACAATTGCACTATGAAAAGACTAGGAAAATCACACCGTTGGCCAGCAATACACGCACATCTTTAGGAGGAGGGGAGGACACGGAAACAGTTTCTGACAATATATCCCACCACGGCCCTGAACTTTCAATCCTCCTGCACCAGCCTTAAAGTCTTGAGATGACATGTGCCACCATGTCTCAACGAATCTGACCACTATCAATTAAGGAATGTAAGAACTAAGATGAAGAAAAGATCAACTGCTATTTTTGTTTGTTTTTCTGGGCCCCAATTTGAGACATCCTAAAGTCTTGAACATTTACTGAGAATCTGTGTTAGAGAACTGATCTGGACATTAATAACAGTATTACACCACAAAGCTCACCCACGAGATTAATGAAGCACTAAAGATGTTGGGAATGTTTTGCCTAAGTAAAGAAAAGGATTACCAAGAACATAAGTTTCAAACATTATTTCTGTAAAGAGCATGCTCTCTATTGCTTCCCAAAAGGGAGTGCAAAGAAATAGTTTAAATAGAAAAGAAAAAGATTTTTATTGTAACTTTCTCTTGCCTGAAAAAGCTTTTACAAAGATAAGCAAACGTATACAGTGAGTGGATGAGCGTATTCTGTTTCAAATAACCTATGGAATCCCTGTCACTGCACATCAAGTAGAGCCAAGAACTGACAAAGGACTAAAGGGGCAAAGGATAGCTGGGCACAGTTTTGTTAAGCGGCTCAGCCTGGGTTTATTTCAAGTAAAATGTATGCAGGAATTGAGATGCTAATCTTGCAGAAATGAGTGTCGTCTGCAGCTAGCAACATGACAAGCACACATCATGAACCTTCAAAAGCACTTGTTGAGTTTTGTTTTTAAATTACTGCCCTCTGAGGGGGTAAAAAATATCTTAAACAGGGAATGAACAAATCTCTACCATCAGTAGAAAGCTGCTTTCAAAGTGTCCAAGTGTATCCGCTTTCGTGTTAAACAAGGGAAGCAACAAGAAAGAGTAATTGTCCTATTCATTACAAAAGAGATAAGAATGACACTTCTGTTTGCAAACTTAATTCACTCCAACTAGTTAACAGCCCAATGAAAGTCAAATGCTCTCAGTTACTCAAACCTTCCCATGACCCAAGTTCTTTATAAAATGGGCTAAGTGCACATAGTATCTTTTTCTATATTAAATCTAGTTTGGATGAATGAAGCAACACAATTATTATTACAAGCAATAGAAACAAGAAAGTCTGAATTTCAAATTTCCATACCCAAAGAGCTGGCTTGTTCACATATGAAGACATATTTCAATGACAAATCCTTTAAAATCCATCACACAAACTATTGCGCAGTTATGCTCTGTGCGTCTGAAGACCCAAAGACAGGGCTGATTGTATGGCTGACGGTCTGGATGATAAACTTGCATAATCTACTATTCCCTTGCTTTAAGCAGTAAGTGGCCAGGATTAACAAACTCCTTGAAGAGTTATTTAACATCTCTTGTTCAGTTTAAAACAGTTGAATCTTACTGGTTTCTCGCTACGGGGAAGAAAGATGATATTCAAAGGACAGTTAAATAATAAAATTTGGGAGCTCACTTAGTGAAAGGATACATTTGAAGACAGTGCCTAAAAGTGGGAAGAACCCCAAGGTCAGGCAAACAGAGAGACTTAACCCAAAAAGATATCAAAACATCCAAGGACACAGCTTACTCTCAAACTAAATTCGTATCTCTGGTTCATCTTAAACATTGATGAACTGCATGTGGTCATTCTGACACAAAACATCCACCTTCTACTAATAAAGTAACCTTGTGTCTTACTAACATCTATACAGAATTTCACAGACTATTACTTTATTTCAAAACACTATTGCTTAACCGCAGCATTGCCACGCATTTCTGTGGGTACTTCCATGTAAATTCTCTATCTTACAGCTTCATATGCAAGTTCATGGGATGGAAATAACAAGAGACAATGACTTAAGGTTATGAGGAGCAAACTGACAAAGATATGATATCAAACCCCAAAGCTGTCATCCATACAGCAGGTGTGCTAGCAGCATGCCCCTAGAAAGTGGGAGCAGAGTACGCATTTGTACCCTAACTCCCCAGGCTCCCCACAGAGATGATGCCAGAGTCTGTGGACTGAGCACCCAGGGGGCTCTGACTCCACTGACCACCCCCCACCCTTGGTGCCGCTTCCACTAGGTACACTGCACCTCCCTTTGTTGAGAGGCTTTCTGCTCCCCGTCTATACCCAAGGTGAGCTAAGTGAGGCCATCAGAATACAGCATCCGAATTCAGCTGGCAATCATCCCGTTTATAAGAAGTAAAAATTAATCCATGAATGGCAAGTCAATTATGCTTCCTTTCAAAAAATTTCACTGTAAAGCTACGTAACCATTTCTGAAGCAGAAGACATGTATTGACACGGCTTTACAGATAAGTATTTAAGTCAGCTAATATAGTACTATAAAGCAAATATTCACAACCAAGTAGCAATGTAAAAAGAAAACAGAAAGTTCAGCTTACACTGATCCACTTACACTGAAATAAGGAATAACCCCGATACACTTAAGTGAGTAAATAAAATTCCAAGGCTAGCATAAACCATCCGGCGAACCTTGTATCCTGTGTCTTATGATCTAGAGTCAGAAAGTGATTGATTATTGACAGGTAATCTTAAAGAGCCCCTTGTAAAAGCAGCTGTATTTCATAAACTCCTGGTTTTTGGATTCCTGCTGCTCAGACTCCACTCCATTGGAATGCATCTCCCAAACTTCTCCAACTTTTCTGATTCCTCACTGGTGGTCTATGCCCACCATAGACCACATTAACAAATCTGACTGACAGCTCTCCAAGTCACCCGGAGCAGGTGCACACCAGCGATCTCCACAATTTCTTACAAAATCTAGTAGTTGTCAACTCTATTCTGCGTAGGCCCCACTGCTGAAAGAGAATGTAGGGAACAATCTGAAAAAGCATACTTACCTTAATCGGAGCACAACTAAACTTAATTTTCCTATTTGCTGGGATTTCTTCTTCTTCAGGCAACCCAACAATTTCAGAGTATTCCATATCGGGCTGATAGTAATTGTTCTCATCACTGTCGTCCTCTTCGTCCTGCTCTGTGCCTGTCTCTCCCCAGTCTGAGTTGTACCTGGATCTCACCCTGTATACATTATAGTCACTGTGCATGTATACGTGGGAACTCTCAAAATTATTTGAGTCTTCAGGTACTTCTCTTCCACAGCTGGATGCAGACGCATCGGGAGAGGTCAGGTCACCACCTGTAAGCTCCTTCTTCTGTGGCACTGCTGTCTCACTCCCAACCACATTAGCCTCGGCAGCTCCTAACTGTTCGTTTCGTGGTGAAAAGATATCAGACTTTGGCATTGCCTGGTTTTCAGCAGAGGGTTCTTCAGGACTGTCTTTGTCGATGCTCTCCGGAGACTCTGGGTGAGATGTGAAGTCCTCAGCTTCTGTGCTCGGCTGTCTCTCTTCACCAGGCAATGAAGCCAGACAGGTACCTTTCTGAGCCACTTCCGGTACTAGAACAGCATTACTCTTCTCAGCATCCTCTGCATCAACACCTTGTTTGTCTGAAGAAGGCCTCGAATTAGAATCCTTGAGTCGGCCAAAGGTATCCAAATTGGTAACAGTAACAGATGGTAGATTCAGGGGGTAATGCCCAGTCACCGAGTAGTCACTGTTCTCAGCCTTCTCAGAAATGATGGCACCCGGAGACTCGGTGTTCTCAAAGACTGCACTCAGTTGACTCACAGTTGGGGAGACAGCCTCAGTCCGGGGACTCAGGCTGTCCAAGGAATCACTGCTGCCTCTGTTGGACTTGGCGCCACCCCACTCGTCCTGTGGTTCAGTCCCTCCAGCTTTCTCTTTCTTTGGGGAATAGCGATTATTTTGCCCTGACTCATGCACACTTCTCTCAAACATCTTTCGAGTCTCTGTGAACTTAGCATAGGAAGGGCCATCGTGCATCGTATCAAACCTACTAATTCGTTCTGAGACAGAGGACTCCAACTTAACCACTGAGCCATCCGTCTTCTCCACAAATTCTTTGGGCTTCATTCTTCTCTGAGGGGATGAAGGTCTACCCTTCCCCCTCGTTTTGGCGACGATAGCAGCATTCTCATTGGGCTCCATACCCATCTGCATAAACAGGTTTTTAATTCTGTTGACATTGGAGCCATATTTCCTCCCCCGGCTCTGCTGAGAGCCCTCACCTTCTTTTGTTTTCTGTTCCCCATCTGACTTGGGTTTGTCAAAAGTACTTTTCAGTGCCTGGAACTCTGTTCTATATGCATTCCTGTGAGGAGAGGCACTTCGGAGAGTGGTTCGTTCACCTGAAGATTCAGCTTTCAACATGTTTACTTCAAGGCTGAAAAGCCAATGCTCATAGTGATGGGGGGGAAAACAACAAAAGAAAAAAAAATACCTCTCTTCCTAAGCCCCAGTAATGGGCCAAGTAAGACCTCTCCAACGGCACACTTTTCCAGTGATGATCCCAACAGGTGTATTAGAAATTTATTCACAGTCAAGAGTTACACAAAATGGCTTTTTCAAGCAAGACTAGGGGCTCATCTGTAATAGAAAAGAAGGAGTTTCTGAATTCATGTGTTTCCCTGAATTTCTACCTATTCAACTGATCAACAGTAACACATACTTTATTTTCCTGGTGGTTTAGCCACACATCAAATAAATTACTTCGAAAAGGGCCATTAAAGTTAAGAAGCTAAAATGTTGTTGTTCTAATTGGTCTTTGGAAACAGAAGTGTTTGAAACATAACTTCAAGATCCTTACAAAACAACAACTCCTCCTCCTCCTCCTCCTCCTCCTCCTCCTCCTCCTCCTCCTCCTCCTCTTCCTCCTCCTCGGCCCTCACACCCCACCCCCAGCCCACCCTACGCCACCCTCACCCCCACTTGACAGAAATGCTTTAGTCCAAGTTTGTAATATTTCTGTGAATGACTTATGAAAAAAGTCAACAACTCATTTACTCAAAAACAAAAAACATCAAAATGACCACTTCATTGGAGAACTTTCCATAATCGTGCAGAGCAGGCAAAAGTTGGGGGTCTATGCTTCCAATCCCTAAGGCATGACTACAGAGGCTTATTTGGTGGTTCTGATCCAATATTGTCGTCTACAGCCATGCCCAAAGTAATAGTTTCAGTGCAATTTCAGGACAAAACAGACAGAAGTTCTGGAATGTCAATTAAGTGTCACTGGAAGTTTTTCTATGCATTGTTTGGAAGTTTCCTCGCCAAGAGACTATTATTAATTAGGGGGTGAGATGCAGCCTCTCAGTGGGACAACATGCCTAGGGACGCAACAATCAGAAACCAAGTACCCCGTGATACTTCCTTCCACAGTCCTGATTTGTCTATTCCGTCTGGCCCCTAACTTAGTACAAGCGAGACAAAAATAAATAAAAAAACAAACGCCATGCATGCTTGCTCTTCTCCAGCCCACAGCTGGATTTTCTACCAACATGCCAGCAGCCCAACACTTCAGGCAGTCAATGCAGTTCTAAACAGTTTGCATTTTGGTTTGGGTTTGGTTTGGTTTAATATTAGACCGAATCACATCACCCTTATGCACCATCCGCTGAGGAAGCCCACACTTTCGCTTAAATCAGCTCCAAACTCGCTTCCTGGCCCAGCAAGCATGCAAGCATGGCCCATGCAGGCAAACAAGAAAGGCTTTCTGAGTGTGGTGCCTGTGGTTTGGGTTTTTTTTTTTTTTTTTTTCCTTTATTTCTTTTCTTTTCTTTTAAGCGTTGACAATGTCCTTTTAGCCACAAACGCCCTCCCCTCTCCCCTAGTTGCACACCCCGTTCCCTCCCCCCGCGCCCAGTCCAGCCCGAGGGGGCGGAGGCGGGGGCGAAGGGGCCGCCGGGGACTCAAAACCTGCCCTCACAAAAGACAAACATAAATAACACCAACTTGAGAGGCAGCCGATTCCCAAGCCCGGTTCGGGACGCAATCCCTCGGGCCCCCGGGGCAGGGCCGGGAGAGCAGGTGACGCCAAGCGCTACGGGAGGAGGTCGCAGGCTAGCTTTTGTGCCAAGAAGCACCTGAAGTCCTAACACATTGGCTGCGGCTCCCGGCGGCTGCCAGGCGGATCCCGAGTGTGTGGCACCGGGGAAGAGCCGAGCTCCTGGGCCACGCAAGGCAGAGAGCGAGCAAATGACAGGGTGATGAGCACAAATGCCTCTGGGTTTTTTTCTCTTTTTTTTTTTTTCTCCCCCTCCCCGGGTGCCGGGAAACAATAGATCCCGCGCGGATAATGCCTCCGCTCCTCGCCCCGGCGCTCCCGACCGCAGCCCCCCCCCCCCCCCCCCCCCGCCCGCGGGTCCGCCTTTGTGCACGCCGCCGGCCGCGTCCCCGCGCTCCCGCCGTCCCCGCCGGCCCGCACGCCGCCCCCTTACCGAGCGGCCCGGGCGGGAGGTCGGCCTCCTCCGGAGCTCCCCCGCCCCCCTCCC